AATTACAAACAATTTCAATGAATTTGAATTTTTATTAATAAATAATAAGTAATTTTTCGAAACAAATGCTAAAATAAAATCTAAAATATTTACACCGAAAGGGAAGAAATTAATCAAAATTTTAAATAAAACAAAATTTTTGCCACAAATTAAATGCTAATTAACTTAACAACAAATTCACATACAATTAATGAAAATTTATTAACTAATCTCCCGATTAAAGCGAGTTTTACTTCAATAAAAATAATTTTAATTATTTAATCAATTAATTAAATTATTGTTGTTATGTTTGCATTTAATTATTGTTTTTGTAAATTAATATAAAATTTATAATTTTTCATTTAAATGTTTAAATCTTTAATTTGAATTAGTTTTAAACACAATTATTAAAACTAATGTTTACTTAAATTAAACATTTAATCAATAAATGTCACAAAAAATCAATTAAAAAATAGTTAATAAACAAATGCTTTGACTGTATTTCACAAATAAATTTATTAACTATTTTTTTGGCTAAAAATCAAAAAACAATTTCAATTAAAATCAAAACAAAAAAATTAATTTCAATTCATATTCACTTTAAATAACTACTGATTTAAACGTCATTTAATAAATCACTTTAACGTGTATTTTAAACATATGTATAGAAAAAAAGCTGATATTTTTGCTGTCAATTTAAATAATCAATTAATTAAATAATTAAAATTCATAACTAATTCACTTAATATTAATAATTAATAATAATTAATATTATTTTCAATTACAATGCAATTAATATATAACTATTGTGGCGGCGATTAAGACTTCTTCGGCGGTTTGATTGTCTCTCTGAACAGTATTTTACGCGATTTGATTGTCGACCACAAGTGCCGCTTCCAGAACGTCAACAGTACGAGCATTGGGATCATTATTAGCAGTACCTGTCGTACAATTATAGTTAACATTAGGAATAATTATAATAATTAATTATTAGTTTAAAAAAGCAAACTTTGGGACAATAGACCGGGCAATCAATCAGTCCCTTCACACCCACCCTACCATCGGGGGCAACACTACTCACATCAATTGAGGCCTTTTTGCGTTTGTCGTACTCGGGCTGCGCGGCCCACGACAGGAAAGTGACCACATCTTTGGCCAATTGGCTCTGAGTGGCGGTCGTGCCGTCTTCGTACGCAATCATATCGCTGAACAACGCCTGTGCCATACCTATAGAGCCCGAACCGCTCACAAAGTACGGGTTAAAGTGCATGCCGTCGGCCAACACCACACCCGCCGGCGCCTCCATATAGCCGGTCAACAGCGAGAATATGTAGTCCTATTAGAGAGTGATTCGTATATCGGGAGTAGTCGGTGATCGTCGTCGTCGTCGGCACCGGGCGTTTAGAAACAAAATTTAATTAATAATATGGCAAACAATTAAGTAATAATAAAAATAAGGGGGGATTTCAAGGGAGTCGAGGGTATACTAGTAGTACACCCGTAGGGGTTTTGAAACAGCGCGCGGGCCTACAAGTAGGACACGTATGTTAGACCGGGAGTGAAACACACATACACTATATGTATGAGTGTTTAGGCGGTGTAAGAAGGGGTCAGTAGAAGTGGGAAAGGAGTGTAAGTTACATACCTCGCCGCCGTGCCGGGCGAGCACAATAACGCTGAGATCGGGCGGTAGGGCGCTGTTGTTGGCCGCGCGGGCGGCCTCTTCGTTGGGATAGGGAGACGGAAAGCGGTCGAACAGTTTGCCCGGTCGTAGAAACATCTTCCCGGTGTCGTCCGGGCCGTCCAGCACTTGGATCTGGTGTTACGAGCGTTAAAAACACGCATACATTAGTATATCATTACATGTTAGGGGTGGTAAAGGGGGTAGTGGTGCTCATCATTACCACCCCCTCCACCAGCATCGGGTCGGCTATACACACCTCAGAAGCCGCCTGTTTGGCCTCGGCCTCCGTATGGGACACACCCACCAGTTCCCGATAGGACACGTACTTCATGCCGTGACAGGCGGCGCACACCTGTTTGTACACCTCATACCCGCGGCGAATACTGTCAATAATAGTTAACATTAGTTAATAAATTAATAGTTAATGAAAACTGGCGGCGAGTGTTGTCCGTAGGTTTTTGCGGTAAACACTGATGTCATGGCCGGCGGGGGTTAAGTGTCCGGTACAACGCCCTGGACTAACTCTACCCTCAATAGCGAGTGGTAAACCACACAAACACCAACATCAGTGTAGTTAACACCCAGAATACGGAGTAAACTCGGATTGCGTGTCCACCGATACGACCGCGAACACACCTACACCGCCACGCGGGTGGGGTTACCCCGTGGGAGGGGTGAGGGAGTTGTTGGACAGTACCTCTGATGGTCGAAGCCTTTGATAAAGCCGTTGTGACTCCAGGGATAGGCGGGCGGATGCAACTCCAGGCCCGACGCCTTCACCGACTGGTCGAGAGCGTAGTACAGGCCGATAGCGCCCACTCCGGCCACCGCTCCCGTCGTATATAACTGTGTTGTTGTTGTGTCCATACATATCGGGTGTTCCGGTCGGGAAAAGGGAGAGAGAAAAATACGGGAAAAAATTAGTTTTGAAACACTAATAATGAGATGTTTTTGGTCACTACAGGCCCGGCAACAGGGCCTACACTATTCATGAAGTAGACTGTAGAAGGCGTACACTATAGCGAGTGTACACTATCTATATATCGGGTGTAAACGGGAGACTATCGCTAACCCAATGTCAATGTCTTTGGAAAACAACACTAGCGGTCAGTCTCTCTCTCTCTCTCGGGGGAAGAGCTAACCCTCACTACACTATAACCCCATGTGTTGTACACTTATGGGGGGCGACCAGTAAAACAGTGTGACCATGGTTAAAAACATGAATTGGTAATTACAATTTGCCGCCATCTAGATGATTGCGATGAACCGGTGGCAGTGGTGTTGGTATTCAATGACCTTAACGCGTTTGGCTGCGAATCGGGGTAAAAATGATTCAATTATTGAACTTATAGAATGATGATAACATGGTGGACACTTACCCGGGTGACTTTGCACGGGCCCGGCAGCCGAAACGTGCGCAAACTGATCCTGGTCGCCGCTCTGGCGTGAAGTGTGTTCAATATTACGGCCATTTTTACCACGTTTTGCGTGCAATGGTTTGTTTGGCTACAGTTTGTATGACTTTCTCTGTGAAACACAGTATCTCTGAATGCTTTCATAGCTGTAACGCTATTATAGGAAATGCATTACAGTTTGAAGAGTGATGTGTTTGATAGGGGGTTAGGGCTACACACTTACCCGCTCTACCACTCTCTGACCACCCGTTCACTTGACATTTTACTAAATTATTGTATAATGATATTTATTTTAATGTCCATGGTTAAAACATTTAATGTCCGGTATTAATTAAAATATTTGTTACCTTAATCATATATGCATTTTGCTTACAAATATTTTCATATAACTTTTTCATCTCTCTCTCTCTGATTAAAATAAATTGTCATAAAAATTACAAACAATTTCA